TCTAAAATATCATTCACTTGGTCCTACCCAATTCGTGACGCATAAAAAAGCATAAAAAATATTCATCTTACAAACAAAAACCTCTTTTATTCCTATTAAACTTTTTTTTTTTAAAGAAATGCCTTTTGAAAAATTGCATTATCATTTTTACTATATTAATAAAAATTGAATGCAACATCACTATACCTCTTTCCCCAATGGTAGAGCTTTATTTTGAAAACTCTATTGTTAAATTATCTATAAAGAGATCAAATATGATTGCTCAAAGAATAAAGATAACCACATATATACCTAATCCATAATTTGTGACGCCGCGGTAATCGAGTAGGACGTCGATGTTTTCGATGTGCTCGTTAGGATCTGTAGTGTCATCATATGTGCTTAAGGGTGGGGGCTTCTTCAGCCCTTTGGGTAGGCGCATGACCATAATTTCTTGGAACAACGGGCCTCGAGGCTCGTTGTCGCTACTGCTAAACCGTGAATGAGAGCGGGTACTTCGTCTAGGGAGAGGACTGCGATCTCTGCGGAGAGATGGACTTCGTGATCGGCCCTTGGATTTGGCTGGAGGCGACCAATGACGCTCTGTCTGGAGATCCCTTCTGGTTATCTTAGCCCCTAGGGAGTGCTGGCTCCGGGGAGAGGTATGATTGCGTTTTCTCACGGCCAGAAAGTTTGGCTGTGCTTGTGCCCAGCGGTCTCTTCCTCGTATGGGAGAAGGACTCTGAGACCTTCGATGTTCTCTCCTCGATGGAGGAGATCTTGGTTGGCGGGACTCTTCTAAGTCTCCAATTCTTGCGTTCTGTTAGAGGATCAGAAGATTTGTTTTGTTGAGGACCTCTAGTAGGGCCGTCATGATCGGGTCGGCGTTGGGCGGAACTGAGACGGTTTGATGGTCTTTGGAGGGTTGGACCCCAACATTGTCAGCGCGATCGGGGACAGGAGACGCGGTGGCTCCATCTCTCTACTGATGGACTTCACTCCCAAGAAAAGGGATTACTCCGTCAGTGTCCGTTTTGCTAACGGGGAGGATAGTGTTGCGAGCATCGTGGACATTGTCATGGCTGGCCATGATCGGAATCTTGAGAGAACTGCTTTGATATTGAGTTTACGGAAAAAAAAAAGACAGAGAGAACTGAGTTTCCCACAGACGGCGCCACTGATCTTGACGGCTGATAAGAACCTGAAGTAGGCCAGAGACTTTGTCTGCGATGCTGGGTTGCAAAGATGAGAAATGAGGGTGAACTTGCAAGACACTCCAATGCTAAAGTAAGAATCGGGAGAAGAGAAGGCAAGTACAAAGATGGTATGTCTTAGGGTGATTTAGAATACCTGACCCTCTCAAGTGAGAGGGTTTTTATAATACCCCCAGCGCTTGGCCATTGGTCCCTATTTTTGAGGCAAGATATTCGCTCCTAAAGAATAAGTAACTACCATAAACTAGTCGTTGGAACGGGCAGAGGTGCTCCAAACTAGCCGTTGCCACGGGCAAGGGCGTGGTCGCGAGCACAAGCGTCGTGACTATTTTTGAATGGTGGAGTCGTGTGTGACGGGCAGGAATGTGACGAGGGGCAGTTGATCCTGGGGGTCAGTTGGCCAGCCTTCCTCAGCAGATGGGCAGAGGAGAGAATGCTTCCTTTTGCCCTTAACTGACAGGGCTAAGGCTATTGGGCCGTTTTGGACGTATAAGTGGATCGGGCCATGCCTAGCCATTAGGGCAGTCTGGAACAATTTCTGACATTCATTATCTCTGACATTGATTATTTCTGACAAATTTCAGGAGCGTGATCCCCAGAAATTTCTTAATCATGGGAAGAAGATTGCTGCATTGCCTTAGAAGGAGGAAGATCGATTTCAGTTGGTTCTATCCTTATCTGGCTTGAAGAACTTGTGCATGGCAGGTTACACTACACTCAACCACGAGATGCTTAATGCATTTGTGGAGAGATGACACTTGGAGACCTCTTTGTTTCATCTCTCACATGGTGAGATTTCTATCACACTCGACGATGTCTCGTGTTTACTACATCTTCTAATATGGGGGAAGTTCCTAGATCATGAGAGGATTACCAAAGACGGGGTAGTTGAGATGATGGTAGAATATCTTGGGGCTGATCTAGGGGAGGCAAAGAAGGAGGTGGATAGGACCAAGGGTACTCATGCTATATTTGAATTCCTGAAGACAACCTATGAGGATGAGATCCTTAGAGCTCGGGAGGTTGATGGTGATGTTTAGCAGGTGACGCTCCACAGATCGCATGCATTGAGAACATACCTACTTTTTTGATTGGCATTGAGGTTTTCGTGGACAAGAGTGCCACTTATACAGACGTCGTCTACCTACAATACATCGTGGATCTCGAGCGGATCCATGAGTACAACAGGAGAGCGACTTGCTGAGTCTACTTGTACTCGAATCGAAGTTGAGAGAAGGCTGTATGTGAAAGACGAATTAGGCCACAAGCAGCGTGACACTACTGACGGTAGTAATTAACGGTCTTTGGATGTTTTTTTGTCAATTTCATTTCATATTTGCAAAACCATTACCGATGATTCTCGTGTTTCAAGCTTTTTTTTATTTCAAGCTTGGATCCTCCAGCACTTCGCTCACATTTCTAGTTGGGAGAGTGTGCCTGAGTACACTGAGGATTTACCATGTGCTACTACTTTTATCCTGCTCATAGGGAACCAGGCGGTCGAGCCTTTCAGCGCCTATCTTAACTGTTTGGTTGTTGAGGACACACACTTCAAAATATATGTTAATCACTGTCAGACGCGGCCATTTGATGAGATATTGTTATACTCTGAATGGTCGGCCTATAGATCGCGTCTCACTGCTCCTCATCTACTCAAGCGCGTCATGCGAAAGTTCGATTACACTCAGACCATTCTCAGATACCCTGTTGTCTCTGCTCCTCCTGTCTTAACCCGTAGACAGATAGATGAGATGTTTGATGATTATGAGAGTCAATTGGCACCAAAGGAGACACGTGCTACCATAGCTAAGAGCGACTAGAGCTACATCGAAGGGTACATCATATGGTTCTTCAGGGTGTCACATCCGTACATGGTGCATGCAACTCCAGGAGATCCGCTGAGACCAACTCATCAAGAGTACTAGAGGAAGAGCAAGCACAACTAGATCATATAGATATTGTCTTGCCTAGGTGTTGTCGTATAGTGGAGATTGTGAAGGCAGACATTGAGTCAGGTATCTTCCCTAATGGGTCTGATGTTAGACAAGTCCTAGATGTCATCATCACAGAGGTACATGTGACATTGTTGTACCGGAGACATCGAAGGAGGATATGGGGATTGATGGCAGAGGAAGTAGATGAGGCAAAGGTGGTAGAGGAGAGGTTGTCAGACACACACAGTAGTAGTCTCTTATTATTTTGTTGTAGTACTATGGTCTGTACTTTATTTTAATGGTCTTACTGCATTATTGATCTCGATTGGACAACATTTTCGACATATATTGTTATTTTATTTTGAAATGACATTTTTGGACACCTGAAATTATGTACGTCTATTTTTTTATATTTTCGATCATACATTATACTTCATCTGAACACAGATAAACAACTTATAGCATGAAATACCTGTTCCGATACATTTCGGAGATATATCTCTGAAATATTCACGAAGATGCATCTCCGATACAATTTAATTGTAAATGACTTCTGAGTGAGATGAATTGAATGTTTTAAATTGTTTCGGAGACACATCTCTTAAATATTTCAACATTTATTCAGAAATAGATGCATCTTTAAAAACTATGAACATTTAAACAATTTCGCATTGCGACTAAGTATTTAGAATACATTAAGAAATTCAAAAAACAATATTCTTCTATTTAGAGATATTATTTCTAAAATATCATTCAACTAATTTAGATTTCATTTTACAATTACTTATGGAAAAGAATTTGCAATTCATTACGCATAAAAAATATTCAACTTACACCCAAAAAACCTCTTTTATTCCTATTAAACATTTTTTTTTTAAAGAAATGCCTTTTGAAAAATTGCATTATCATTTTTACTATATTAATAAAAATTGAATGCAACATCACTATACCTCTTTCCCCAAATGGTAGAGTTTTGCGAGTTTTATTTTGAAAACTCTATTGTTAAATTATCTATAAAGAAATCAAATATGATTGCTCACATCAGAACAAAAATAGCCACATATACACCTAATCCACATTTCTATCATTATACCTTATTAGTCATGAAATTATGTTTTTTTTTCCCAAATAAGATTCAGCTTTTTTCTTATACATATATATCCCAAATGATACATTACGTAACAATTTCAAATTTGAGTTGTGGACCCTAAAAACTACATTAAATATGATCCAACAGGAGCTAAAACACACTAAAATCAAACTCGCTTGTTAAGCTAACTCAGTTGATAGTTCTCTAACTCAGTTGATAGTTGTGCAGAAGCATTAGATGCAAAGGCGCGCGCAACATGTCGAGAATAAAAGGCTGGTGCGAAATAAGATAGCAACATAAAAGACAAGAAACACTGATAATTTATTAAACTTAGAAGCATTGAAGCAACTCTATCCCAAAAGAAATTTAACTAAATATTCAACCATTCCAACAACAAATGATGCATTTTTACATGAAAACCCAAAACATATTGATATGTTAATGGGATAAAATTAATTGAACAAAATTCATATTCTTACATAGCTGCTTCAACTCCTGCGCGAATTCAAGACTTCTCAACTTCTCAACTTTATGATCATTGCACCTTTCCGCGCCAAACTGCATAACCCTTAATGTCAAATCCCAGGAATCTACCTTCATCCATATCAACAGCAAGTGCGAACCTTTGAATTTCAACAAGTGCGGGAATTTCTGAAAAAAAAATGAAACAGATGCAACAGAAAAGTCGAGTTAGGTTTTGTAGAGATGTAATAATTTAAAAGTATAATTTAAGAGAAGAATAGTACTCACAGCTTCTACTGAGTCACTGTTTTCGATAATGTTCTATGCTCCGAAGTATTGGATCATTTCATCATCACCTATGAAATCATCTATATGGAATGGTGGACTGTTAAGTCCTCCAAAATCAAATGACATGTTGATTGGTGATCCAAAGAAAGGATCTATAGGCCTATCGAGCTCGTTTTGGAATGCGTCTTTACCGAAATAGTTTATGTCACCGGTAATTTCATCGCCTTTGGTATTTTCAACAGGTATAGAGATTGCAGCGTTCTCTGGTGGCCCAATTGGTTCAATGTGAGCAGGCTCGGGCTGCTGCAGATGCTGCCCATCTTGAATGTGACTAGGATCATATCCGGTAACTGGATTGTAGAGATTATAAGTAGCTTCATGAGACATGTCAGGGTTCTGCAACGGAGCATAGTGCAATGGTGGCCGTCTATTCATATACACACTCTCCGAGGAAACTATGTTGTTTGCATGCATATAAGAGTAATGATTGAGGAACTCGGGTGGCGGTAGTTGAGCTGGCACCTCGTGTCCTTTCTCGGTCAGTCTCAAAACAGAATCTGTCCCGTTGACATTTTCATTTCCATGAATATGGAGTCCAACAGCACGTGCTTCATCTGTCCCGTTCATATTCGGCACTTTGCTTCTAGGTTCAATTTGCAAAATTTCATTGTCAGACTGTGCTGGTAATTTGTCGGCTGCACTTGACCTCGAACGGGGTCTTTTCGGCCTAGATTGCTTCTTAGCTTGATCGGTATCTTGGACAGAATTCTTTTGGGAGTTATCCGATTTCTCGGTATCCATACAATGAGCGCACCTGTCTTCTTTAGAAGAAACAGAACCGACGTTATCATCAATACCCTCGACATCATAGTTGCTAGCACTACTAGCTGCAGGTTGCTTATTCTCAATAGGAAGACCAACAGGTAGTGTTTCGGTTATTCCAGAAATACCATTATCAATACTAGGCTGTCTGATGTGAGCTTCTTCCCGACTTAATACCCCTAGCCAAATCGAACTTTCCTTTGCTGTCATCTTGTCTTGCAGGCATTTTGATTGACGGACGTGTCTTCGTATTTTTGCAATATCAGGTGACATGTGCTTTATAACAGCAGTTAGCACTCCGACTTTCCACATCTTCTTCAAATCGTGTGGCTTTTTGTAAGGAGGACTCTGACCATGAGGTAAATTAAAATGCGACCACCAATCTTCATTCCCAGTCGGCCACCACGGCGGGGGAACACCCTTTTCCAACGGGAATTTTCTCTGAGGAGGATCACAATGTTGCATCAAAGAAGATAACAGTGACCCGAGCGTTGCATCTTGCAGGTCTTGCAGCATGCTCTGAGAGTTCCCGTTTCGGTTATTTTCGGCCTCACTCATAGCAAGACACTCTGCTTCATACTTGGCTATAGCTGCAGGACCGTTTCTATCGAACTTCACCTTTTCTTTCCACCAGGCTCTAATATTATCAGACGAACCACTAACCGGCTTCCCCTTCTCAGGAATGATCCCATACACAAACCCACGAGCTTTGCAGACTTCCATAAGCTTCAGCATATACTTGAGAATCCCATCTTGAGCCCTCGACATTTTCTTCCTCCGAGCTTGATCAGACGACTGCCTCGGCTTTTGCTTCTCCGCAGCTTGCAGCGCTGCAAGCTTTTGCTTTTCTTTAATCCTTTTGAGCTTGATACGATCCTTCCACATCCGCTTCTCCAATTCTTCTGCTTCAATCTCCTCGTCACTGACATCTTTCTCTGGTATATTGTGATACCTAACATCGTCAACATCTAAATCCGAGCTGCAATTCAACACATCAACATCAGAAGCTGCCCCAATCAATTAACAAATTCTCCAAATCACTTTGCTAATAAAATCTATATAACAAACATAAAAAAACACAAACTTTCAACTTAAAAAAGTGAACTTGCAAACACTAAACATTAACCTACTAACAATTTAAACAACATTAGAATCTCCCAAAAAGATTCCTCAGCAAAATCCAACTAAATCCTGAATTATGAAAACCAGCAGAATTTCAGTGACCTAAGCTACGATTATCCCAAAAACAATATCATTGAAAACATGATAAAACATTAACAACAGCCAAACATAAAACACCACTAACAGAGAATCACAAAACATGTTACATAAATAAAAAAAACTAAATTGAAGTTGTGACAAATAAAAATGAGAACTTTCGAGTTTCGACACATACCCATCAGCTCCAATTTCTTCAATTTCACCCATGAATGAAAAATTGGCGGCGAGATAGATTACACGGAGTCAAAATTTTCCGAATTGCACACAAAAATCGAATTTGGGGATTCGATTCTTCTAGGTCAAGCTGCGTTTTTTATTGATGGAGAATAGAAAGATAACAAATTGAACGAAAAAAAATGATAAGAACCCAAAAGGGGTTTTGATTTTGCTACCAAATGACCCGAATTTCAACTACGGCGATGCTTTAATGATAGAGAGAGAAACGGGAGAGAGAAAGAAAATGAAAATGAACCATTGAATGTAGAGATTCTCTACATTACGCCTATTTTATTTACTGTGTACCTTGAATGAGATCTATTATTCCTTTTTGGTCTCCATATCTTATATTATTATTCTCTTTTTAAATTAAATAAAAATTTAATATATTTTCTATAAAAAAATAAAGTGTAAATATAAATTTTACTTTTTTGTTGATTAATTTAAAAGAAAAGTTTATACCATAATATAAATTTATACTTTTTTTAATTAATTTAAATATTACAAATCTAACTAATTTATTTTTTATCATCTTAATTGTAAAGATTGTATGTTATTAAATATTTGTTATTTAGTCTAGCCACTTGTTTAATTAGATGCTTTAAAATTAATATGTTATATGGAGACTTAGGGGTGCTCAAATAAATCGATTATTTAAATAATCTATATTCATATTTAAATCTGGTTAATTATTAATATGGTTTTAACCAAATCTACATTTTTGATATATTTTTAATATGGTTTTAACCAAATCCATAATTTGGACATCCATATCCAAAATAAAAACCAAATTAGTCAATTTTTTTTTGAAAAAAAATATTGTTTTAATTTTTTTCAATAAATAAAATTTTCAGTGAAAAACTTGTATTCCAACTGAAACTCATTGCAGTCAATTCCAATGTCCAGCTTTAGTAAGTTTCATGTCTCCTTCCTACTATAGGTTGTAGGCATGTAACACAATCTTGATCTTTTGCCATAATTGAGTCAAGATTAATTATTATGAGGAGCAAAATTAATTTGACAGGTATGATAACACAATTTTGAACTCATGAAGAGCCTTTGCTTCACAGCTATGAACTGATTGTTGAACCCTCCATCACATAGTATATATCCTTACATAAGAAGGCATAGAATTGCAATAAATTTAGTTATAAGTTGAAGGAATTTGGTATTCACCATCATTTTTGAATTTAAAGGTTCTTAATTCTATAAATTTTTCTAAATTTCCCGAATGAACACATCACTCCCGGTGCCTACATAATTATGTTTGTCATTGTCATAATTAACGTTAGATTTAAAAGTCAAAGGTTAAGAATATAAATGTGAAAACCTTTTTAAAAAGAAAAAGTGAAAGACTTCTCATTAATAAAATTTGTTTAACCTCATATTCAGTTTTAGGGGTTGATGCTATCAGTCAAAAACTTCTAATCAAATTTAAATTTCATATTAATTATAATTTGATAAAATATTGAATCTATAAGAAAATAGATTCATTTATATGATATCTTAAATTTTAGTTAAAGATGTAGTGTCTTTAACTATTATGATTCAGAATAAATTATAATAAATATATGATTTTTATTTTAGGTATAATTAATTCCTAGTTCTTTAAGTTAATTTTAAAATAAAATTAAATCAAAATTAATTATAAAATTGATTATGGATATAACCGGTTAATAACCTGTTTATAACCATTTTAAAAGATAAAAACCGGTTATTAGAATTGATTTTAATAACTGGTTATAACATATGAATTATTTATGGTTATGGATTAGTTATGGACATTAACCATCCATGAACACTCCTATATGAAGTAGTATATATATATATAAGTTTAACTGATATTTGCTAATGTTTCATTTGTGATATGCTAGAAAATTAAATAAAGTTTGAAAATGACTAGAAACAAATTTAGTCAAATAAATTTGATATTCACAAGAGAAATCTTTTAAATGTAAGTTGAATCAAAATTTAAATATAGATATTAAAATTTAAATTTGAATAAAATATAAATAATATTAGTAAAAAAAATATAAATATTATAAAATTTAAATAAACAAATTAAATCAAAACAAACATTAAATGCAAAAAAAAATTATAATATAATGAAATTAAAATAATCATATTAAAATAAAATAAATATTAACCAATAAAACACATTAAAAAGCAACATCAGTCAATAAAATTATATTATTTATATTAGTACGGTGACCAACACTTATTTAAACAAACATTTGTAGAATAGAAAATGGACCGTAATTCAGATTTTTATTCATAATTTTATCTAAAATATGTTCATAAAATAATAATAATAATAATAATAATAATAATAATAATAATAATAATAATAATAATAATAATAATAATAATAATAATAATAATAATAATAATAATAATAATAATAATAATAATAATAATAATAATAATAATAATAATAATAATAATAATAATAATAATAATAATAATAATAATAATAATAATAATAATAATAATAATAATAATAATAATAATAATAATAATAATAATAATAATAATAATAATAATAATAATGATGATGATGATGTGATTATTGTACATTTGGAAACAACATTGTTGGTACAATAAAAAATAATATATTATTTTTAATAAAAGATTAACGCCACTTTACACTATCATTTAATTAAAATTAATTATTTTAACACATAAATATTAGAATTAAAAATAAAATAGTATACTTATATGTTAAAATGATTTTACGTTAATAATGTATTTTATTTAATCTCTTTTAATAATATATTTATTTTTTATAGAAAGTGGATTTTTTTTAGTTATTGCTTTATTTATAATTTACATTTTAAATTAATTTTATTAAATAGATATATTTAGCTTTAATTCAATATCAATATAAATTTAATAATTTGTGAGGCGCTATATTAATAGTGAATTTAAAATCACACTATTTATCATATTTATTAACTCGCGACTACATATTATACATATTATGCAATGGACAATTAAAATATCTTTATAATGATACTACTAGTGCATGCAAATTAGATTATATATATGAGACAAATATAAAAAGAGATTAAAGAACAAATATATTATATTACTATTTTATATAACTTGAATAATCAATATATTTGATTAAATATATTAATTATTTAATGAATATAAAAAAATAACTTTCTTTTATAAATAAGATTAGAAATAGTACAATTTAATTAATATTATAAAATATTTAATATGTTAAAATTGTGTTTTCTTCTTGTTATTTTTAACCTTTTCAATTTTGTAAGTTATTTTTTAAAATCATCACTAAAAAGTTAAATATAATTCTAATAAAAAGAGAAAAGAGTATCAATAAATCAACTTTATGAATAATTGTGAAAAAAAAAATATAAGAGCGCATGATATTATATTTACTCACCTTTAAAGTGTGAAATATTAATTATTAGTCTATTTGGCAACAAAAAAAAACTAAAAAATGAAAAATGATAAAATTGATAGTATATTAAGATTAACACAATAAATTTTTTTTTTAAAGTATACAAAATATAATGTATTAAGACACTTTTTATAAAAATAAAAAAATAATGTATTTGAACATATTATTACATTAATGTTCATAATATATATATATATATATATATATATATATATATATATATATATATATATATATATATATATATATATATATATATATATATATATATATATATATTCAAAACTTATTTTATTATCTAAATTTAATATAATTAAAAAATAATCTAAATAATTTTTTAACCAAAAATTCTAGAAGCTATGAGCCACTAAATCTAATATATTTAAAAGTAATAAGGGAATAAAAAAACGCAGACCAACTCTAATTGAGAATATCAAATTAGTGGCGTCCTTAATTTTATCTATTGTATGGGGGAAAAAAACTAATGTTTCTATCTCTATCCACGTGTGAATAAATTTTTACTTTCTCTTGCTAAAAAATTCATGTCTCTTAAAAGTTTTTTTCAACTGAGATTGAGACAGCCTCTCATAGTTCATGAGATCAATATTATGATTTTTTTCAACTGAGATTGAGACAGTCTCTCATAGTTCATGAGGTCAATATTATGATATTAGGGTTGGAGTTGTAACTTCTCTTCAACTTCCTTAACAAGAGCATTTCAAAATGCATGTATTCCATGTATTCAATCGATGTTTCAATAATTTCAACGTCTTGTTCAAAATATGCATAATGCTATTGTGAGATGTTGGATCAAACTCTAGTATGATCGAAGGGTAGCTTCTTGTTCGACAAGAATTAAGCATGAGGTTGAAGTCTGTTCGCATGCTACTGTCGAAGTAATGCGTGTTGTAGTCGAAGTTTGTTCTAACATGCATTAATCAATATTGATAGGATTGGTAGTATGTTGAATTGGGTCTTACTTGTAAGCCCAATTGTTTAAATTAGCTTGTAATAGGTAATTGTTAAAAAGCCTATTAGGTTAGTGTGTTATTTTTCTTATAAATAGGATGTTAGTTTCTCAATCTTTGCATAAGGAAAAATAGGAAGATAAAATCCTAATTTCAAGAGAGAGAGTTTATTTTGTTATTCTTGTATACTTGTAATCTTGTTTTAAGAGAAATGAAAGAATAGCAGTTTAATAACTAATTCTTGTCGTTCCTTATTGTTTTACCTTGTTATCTTTGTTAACACTAACCATTGTGTATTTCTTGATCATAAAGAAATTGTTTATACTTTATTATAAGGTATCTGATTCACAACAAATTGGTGCGGTGAGCGTGGAAAAAATGTCTTCAACAGAGTATGAGATTGAAAAGTTCACCGGAGTGAACGACTTCGGTCTGTGGCGCTTGAAGATGAAAGTCCTACTGGTTCAACAGGGTTGTTTGAAAGAGTTGAAGGGAGAGGCAACCATGGACGTTGCGTTAACGAAAAAAGAAAAGAAGGGCGTGATTGAGAAAGCCCACAATGCAATATCGTTGAGCCTTGGTGATAAGGTTCTTCG